TTTGTTAAGTTATTCTTGTTTAAAGTTATAAAAAAATTTTATTATAAAAAATTTGCTTGATTTCTATTGACTCACCTCCATATATAGTTATCCCCCATATAATCACCTTCTATATAGTCACAACTTCTATACAATCACATAATTTTGTATGGTTGTTTTTTTAATATTGAAAATATCTTTATATAATCACATTATTAATATAATTACTATCACTTTTTTTAAAAATTTTTTTAGCCTAATTTATTAGAAAAAATACTTCTGTAGAATCACGTTTTTTTATTGGTTATAATAAATACATAATTGTGATTGACTAACCCAAAATATACTAAAAAGATTCAGAATTAACTACTATAAATTGATTAAAAAGTATTCACATTACAAAACTCATTTTATTTTTAATTTGGATTATGAACTGTGTAACAGATATTTAAACCACAGGTAATGTTTTATTAAATTTATAATTAGTAAAATAGAGTTTGTCAGGGCAGCCTTCAAAGTTTGCTAATGACAACATCACTGCCGCGGCTACTACAACACAATTGATTGATTAATTGATTGAATACTGTGATATTGATATTGATTATTAGTGAACTTTGGGCCACCCTAGCAAACTCAGAAAATAAATTATAAAAAACAATTTGTCAATTGAAATAGGTTTTAAAATAGGTAGCTTACATGCTCCTAATATATAATTTGGCCATTCAACTAACCAGATTTTACTAGTTGAAATAAAGCCTATCGGGCAAATATTATAACTTTTTTAGTCCCAATATGACACTAATTAATGGCTCAAATCGTGTCATTTCCAGGTTCAGATCGGAACTAATAGAGCTATTTGTTAAATATCAGAAACCTGATAGCTTTTATCATTTTACTGATAGCTCTATTAGTTCCGATATGAACCTAGAAATGACATGATTCGAGCCATTACTCAGTGTCATATCAGGACTAAAAAAGCTATGATACTTGTCCAATATGCTTTATTTCGACCAGTAACTTATTTTAAACCTATTCATACGATTTGCTATTGGGTATTTTATACTCTTGCTGCATGGATTTGATCATCGTGATAAAACCAGTAAATGCCAAACCAACAATACAGTACAATTATGAAATACACTTCATGGGATCTCACCTTGCTGCTCATGTGGCCTATATCTAGTATTCTAACTTTCTCTCTTAAATAGTCATTTATGAGTCATATTTACTAAATCACAACTTGCTGATGCAAGTTATTGTAATGATTAATTCTCCTGTGTCACCTCATTTCTGTATTTGTCTAATTCTTTAAGTTATCATATACCTTTGATAATTTTACTATGTATCTTGTCATGTTAATCTTATATTAGTATTAGGCATTATTACATAATTTTGATGACTTAATTTATGCAAGCGCATCAACACTCAAAATATCGCGTCTACTAACCCTCCCATCTAAAAAATCCATCGACTTCATAATTATTACTGCTGAATATCATTATAACATGTTCATGCTGATGGCCAGCTTATATTGTGCAGATGAGAACTACTGGTACAATATTAGTTGCTATTGAACCTAGGTGCTACACAAAAAATGCATGGCAGATCCTCAATTTTGATTGGCTAAAAAAAATTAAGCCGGAATTACTCATAATTTTACTAATGAAATCGCAGCCGCCTATTAAGCGAAAATTGTTCTTGAGTCAATTTTACCATAATGCATGCTTATTTTTTTAAAAAAATTTCTATTTTTGTAATGAAAAAATTAAATAGTTAATTCCGGCCAGAATTTAGTAAACAATTTTGTAATATAGACCAAAATTTCGAAGATCTTCAGATGTTAGCCAATCAAAATCAAGAATTTGCTGTGCGGCACCTAGGGTAAATTATTTTGATAGATGATTTAATTTTTCTCAAACTTTGAGCGAGCTATCTTTACAACTATCTAACCAAAATCGGCAAAAGTTTTTTTTATTCTATAGAATTCAAATAAAAAATTTTTAATCGATTTTGATTAGGTGCTTATCGAGCTATCTTAATTAAACTTTTTGAAAATGTTTACTTTTAGACAAAAAAAATCAGAATCGGTTGTCCTGTGATTTCCCATGATTTGGGTGATGCGTAATTGTTTAGATTTTTGAAAATTATGATGATTGCCTTAGATCAGAAAATCAAAAAATGTCTAAAGAACTAAGCACAGGTCTGAGAAACCCCTCAGAACTTGCCGACAGTACTAGTGAATTTAGACCGAGACACTTAAGTGCACTTAATATTCATTATGGTGATAGAGCCATCGGAATGTTTGGAGATATGCCTAGTTTTTCATACAGTAACAGTCTTCTCTTACGAAATGCGAATAAGGATCAGCTTTTTGGTGCTTGGGCTGACGATTCCCTTACTGAAGGCTGGAATAATAAAGAAAGAACGCTAGCTAGATATATATCAAATGTATTAATGAAAGAAATTGCAAGTGCAGGAAGGCATGAGAGAGTTACCAATTCATTTGTAAACTTTCTTTTAGGGGCTTTAAAATTTAATTGATACTCGCTTTTCTTGGAACTGAAGGCAGATTGTTATTTCGAAGTGGACACTAAAAGGGAATATCGGAAACTGACTTTTCTATATAGAAGAGCAATCTATTTGTGATAGTTGATGAAGACAAGCACTTGAATAACGTTTCCAAACTTACTTGGTGGGGCGAATGTCAAATAGCTGGTGAATTATTGGCTTCAGCATTTGTAAACCACGAAGTATTACGAGGAAGATACCGTGTTCAATCATTATTTGCAATACATGTAGTTGGAACACAGTTTACGTTTTACAGAGCAGAAGTTGATTTTAATTACCTTAACAGTCTTGTTGATGGATTTTCGGCTAAGGAAATGTGCATATACAGGTATCCAGTGGATCAAGGTACAGATCAATTTCCATGCCTTGATTATATGGATCCTGATCAAAGAAAAGAGATCCTAGATATTTTGATAAAGATAAAAAATTTTGTTATTCAAGATAAAACAGTTTCATGATAATTACCTATATAACAAAGTTAGTTTATGATAACCAATAGCACATTGCAATAGAATTTAACTTTTTTTGATAGTTTCAATCAATCAAAGCAAATTGTAAAATTCTTTATTATGTGCATGGAGCAAGTCGACAATAAATAAATATCTATTTGCTTTATTGATACAAATGAAAACATATGTGAGCCACTTCTTGAGATGCTCCTACTTTGCAACAAAATTAAATGTGGTCATATACACAAAAAAAAATACATGAAATGTCTACATATACATTAATTTATTCTTACACATTTATCTCAATTCCACCTGTGTAATTACATCTGATATTGTAAGATCCTTCCTTATAGTAGCCTGCGATATTGTCCTTATGATTCTCATGAATTCGGGTATGCTGCAGTAAAAAATACATCATTTGAATTGATATAATAACTAAAAGATATTAAGAATACTTTATTAATGATATGTTTTCGCTTTTTTCTCTGGACCATCGAGTAAAGTAGAAATTGGAGGTTGAGATTCAGATGTAGGGATGTTAATGGAGTGCTCCAGGGTGGTGTGGTGTATACTCTGGTAGAGTATTCCTTAACACCATGCCACACCGGAGCATTCTATTATAGTATACTTCGGAGTGTAACCCAGAGTATAATCCGGAGTATAACCTGGAGTACTGTCATAATTTACGATAAGAGGAAAAATATATTATACTATTACAAACTTTATTAATAAATAATGTATTTACCTTTGGTCAAGTCTATAAGTTGTTCATATTGATTTGACAACGTTGAATCTGTTGATATAAATTTTTTTATATTTATTCATTATTCTGCAGAATATTTAAATAATAAATCATTTTGCCTATTTTATTTATTTATTATATATTATTGATTTTAGCGTTATTTTGTAAAAAATAAACAAGACGATTTATTATTTAGTTAATACGTAAAAAAATTATATATTGTTTACCTCGAGAAAATGATTTAATAGTACATTTCTTTTGGCAAATTGACTTAAAAATTTTTAACGCTAAATTTTCATCCGGTTCCGATAATTTTCTTATCATTACTTCATTTTACAAAGATTTCATAAAGTTCTGCTGCCGATGGTCGCTTTTCTGGTTCCTTCTTCCATTAGACTTATATAACGTTGTGGAGTATCCGTAACAACAGGAGGTCGAAAGTCGTTTTAGGCAAATATCTGTTTCTATCAATGTTGGCACATGACCAGGTCATAACAGGTCATATCACTAAGTTCAATTAGTAAAGTCATATGACAATGGTCATATGATCCTACTAATTGAACTTAGTGGTATGACCTGTTATGTGCCAACACTGGTTTCTATCGCTATTGATTCGTTATTTTGGACGCAATAATACACAGGTACCCCATATAAAATCTCCCACATAATCATGCTAAATGAATAAATGTCGGATGCTGTTGAATATGACCCATCGCATAAAATTTCTGGAGCTATATATGATATAATTCCATAGTTACTATTCGATTTTGTTTTTAGTTCCATACTAGATGATATTGAAAGTCCCAAGTCTGTAATATAAGCGTTATGCATCTTGCAAAATATTACCACTATGTAAATCCCGGTGAATTAATCTTTGAGAATGGATTATTTGAAGATCACTTGCAATACAAATCATTAAGTTTATCTTATCTTCCCACCTAAGTTGTGATATTGAGTGAAGATTGTTAAGTAAAGAGCATATTTCATAATAATAATATAATTTTTAGAAGCATCATCTCTTGATATTCCATAGTATTTTAAAAATGAAGGATTTGCGTTGCCAATTTTACAAAACATTCACAGGTTGAATCAATGAATAACGGGTACATACCGGGAGACAAATCTCCCGATATGTACCCATTGTTCTACTATAGATCCGCCAAATAACTGTAGCATATTGGTAGCATATTGGTTAGATATCGGGAGGTAGAACGATAATAGTAACATAACAGTAACATACTGAGACATCCCGGTATCTTACCCTTAGCACTATTTGGACAACAGGGGTGAACGTCCCGAGTGCCCCGAGTTTGTAGATCGTTACACAATTAATTAAAGATTTTTTTTATACGTTT